ACAATGTATTTTTGGCTATTGCTACAAATATACCCGATCAAATGAAGACTGGTTTTGTGGTCCAGGGTCACATGATTAATATATATCTCGATTAACTGATTAATTAACATGTTAATTTTGACAGCCATATAATCTTTTCTTCTCAAAATTTGAAAGCCTCCTAGCATCCCCCTGTCGGCTGTCTGGGAGTCCATGAACCCCAGCTTGAAAACTCACTGTTTTAGGGTTGCTTAAACTGAACTTTGATTGAAATCAAATGAAACTTGTGAATTCTGTTAAATTTGTTTACATGCCATTTTTACAACACATTGTGCCATATACAGAAAGGCCTGTTATAATGCCTCCTGATCCCTTTGTGGCCAGTTGTGAAAAGAGCACATCACCAGGTCATAGGTGAACAAGGCTTGGTGTGCTGGTAAGGCTTATGAGGTGAGGGGAATTTGTATAGGTAAACTCTAGCATTCGGGAATAATGGGAGTGTGGCTTTAGTTGTCTTTAGAGAAATGAATAATGGAGGTCTGTGACGTTTTCAAAGGTAAACTCTAGTTTCTGTGACGTGCCTCTGGCAGTAGTGTGTGTACATCTGTAGAAGAGTATAAAAGGTCCACCAGGACCTCGATGGCAGTACGGCAGAACGGCGTGGACATCCTGCTCTGCAGCCATGGGAAAGGTAGGCGCTGACAGTTGTAGCTTCTAGTTAGAGTGATGCTTAATGTTTCGAATTGGTATTTTCACAAGACATTATTTGCTACATTAGGGACATGAGCTTCACCCTGACTTGGAACAACCTGAAGACCATATAGTCTGAAATGAACTTAAAAAGTCAAACTAGACAGAAGAATAGAAGATCATCAATGGAAGTTTAGCCACTACAGCTTTCTATGTTACTTTCACATAAGACTGGACAAAATAAGCATATTCATTCACCACTTCCATAGATTATTCCTCTGTTCCTTGCTAACATACTCTTTCCTTCTGTCATCAGATCATCTTCTATGAAGGCTCCAACTTCCAGGGGCGCTCCTATGAGTGCTCTGCTGACTGCACTGACACATTTAGATACTTTAACTGTTGCAACTCCATACGGGTCATGGGGGGTCACTGGGTGGCCTACGAGAAGTCCCACTATATGGGGTATCAGTACGTCCTGGGCCGTGGGGAGTATCCTAACTTTCACCACTGGATGGGCTTCAACAGTTGTATCAGATCTTGTCAGATGTTCTCCCCAGTAAGTCAATCAAACTGATGGGTTTTATTTCACGCAGTTAGACACCTTTCAAAAAAGCAACGTCAATCAACGAGCCCTTTGAAGTAATTCATATATGCAGGGAAAAAAACAGGTTCACAGGTCCACCAGGAGATTTAGTTATTTGAAATGGAGCAAGACACACTCCGATGACTGCGCAGCTCATCATAATTCCATTCATCTCTGTTTTTGGCAGCGGAAGAATCATGACACTGTCACTAGAGTTAGTTCGACAAAAATGACTAAACGTCTACTTGAAAATCTTTGAAAGTTGCGCGTTTACAGCAGGAAGTCATGTTCAAAGGCTCAGTCTCAACAGCGACATCAAGAATGTTCAAGGTTTTCTCCCAAACGTTCTGACAGCTGGTCTCTCAAATGTCTCTGCGTTGCCCTGATTATTGATTCCTCTAAAGCCCTAACTGCTGTTTTTCTCCCCACACAACAGTACAGAGGTGCCTACCGCATGAGACTCTACAACAGACCTGAAATGTACGGACACATGATGGAGTTCACAGATGACTGCCCCAATGTCTACAACCGTTTTGGCTACCATAGCATCTACTCCTGTAACTGTATGGAGGGCTACTGGACCTTTTACGAGCACCCCAATTACAGAGGCCGTCAGTATTTCCTGCGGCCCGGAGAGTACAGAGCCTGCAGCGAATGGGGTTGCATGAATCCCATGATTGGCTCCTTTAGGAGAATGAGGAGCAGTTTAATGTAAACGGTATCTTTTTTATGACCATTAAAGACGTTAAAACTGATTAAAACGGTTCTTTTCTTCATGACACTTTGAATTATTTGGTAGCGTAGGAAACAGAAAGTTTCTTCAGCTCGCCAGTTGTTTTTCAAATAAGAATCCACTGATTCATTGCCCAGTACACATCAAAATAAAGACATGCATGTCAGTTTTAAGCCAAACTCAACTTTATAAATCTGATGTGGTTGAAGAATTCATTTTAGTCTCATTCCAAACCATAAAACAAGCTAAAAAAAGAACTGCTTATGTGAGAGGACAATTTCAATGAAATCACTTCATATCCCAGCTTCATATTAACATTTTATCTTCATTTATGTGCCCCTGCCAGTTCACGGCATTTACATGTAAAGCCCTGAAGCAACTAAAAGCAGAGTTTGCAACTTTTTTGTCAAGCACTGAAAAGTGCAGTGGTGCTGTCTTTGGAGAGAGAGAGAGAGAAAGCTTGCAAAGACACAAAGGGGGGCACACACTGGCTGATCTACAGTCGCATCTACTCTATAGAACACATTGTGCTGACCAGACAGAATTTTGTGAGTCACACACAAAGCCCTGATCCTGCTGGGTCTATAAAGAGGTCCTGACCTCAGAAATGGTTTGGTCCGCTCAGAGAACAGTCACAATGGCCAAGGTAAGTGACTAAATTGTGTTTGTAAATTATATAGATTGCGGTTTTAGGATATGCAACCATATTATCCAAAACCATGCTTTTAACTCTTCAAAATAAATATGAAAAAATATATATATTAAATAGAACAGCTGTTATTTTTTTAATGGAGAAGGAAATATTTTTGAAATAATACGTTTTGAAAAAACATGATAAAATAACTAACTCTGGATTAAAAGATATTTGGTATATCAATATTTTCTTTGAATTATATGGTAATCTGAGTTATATTTGTTGAGTTATATTTGTATATATTAAAAAGAACTACTCAGATTTTTTATATAACTTCTTACAAAAAATCTGACGAAATAAGAAAAAGTGAAACTTCAGACTTAAAGTGTACCTGTAATCCTGTATTTTTCTTTCTCTACATCCATCCAACAGATTACTTTCTTTGAAGACAAAAAGTTCCAGGGCCGTCAGTATGAGTGCACTGGAGACTGCGCTGACATGCAGGCCCACTTTTCTCGCTGCAACTCCATCCGAGTAGAAAGTGGAAGCTGGGTGGCCTATGAGAAGCCCAACTACGCTGGATACCAGTACATGCTGTCCAAGGGTGAATACCCTGATTTCCAGCACTGGGCTGGATTTAATGACTGCATTCGCTCCTGCCGCATGGTTCCTCCTGTGAGTCTTTACTGTACAGTCAGTCAGTAGAAGTAGAAAACAGAATTATTTAAAAATAATCTATTGTGATAGGAAAACATTTTTACTTTGCATCAGCAAGTTAAGAGTTTAATTATGCTGGTTAGGTCGTGAGAATCTAGCTTATTGAAAATAATGACTGTTCTATGAATATTTTGTAACTGCCTCTTTTTTCTGTTGTCTTTAAAGTTTGGGATGTTTACTTTGTTTATATGATATGAGAACAAACAGATTTCTCAAACACTCACCTCATCTGCCATTGGTTGGCTGAATAGAGAGTTCCACTCCAAACTCACGCAATTGGCTGATCCAATGTCAGGCAACAATGCCTTACATTTTTGGAGAGAACTTTTTATATATATATATATATATAACACTGATTACTTCTTCCCCAGTACACTGGAAACTACAGGATGAAGATCTTCGAGCGCTCCAATTTTGGTGGTCAGGCAATGGAGCTGAATGAAGATTGCCCTGATCTACGTCAGCGATTCCACAACGGAGACATCTCTTCAGTCAATGTCATGGAAGGCTACTGGATCCTCCACGAGCACCCCAACTATACTGGTCGCCAGTTCTTCCTGCGCCCTGGTGAATACAGGAGGTACAACGAGTGGGGCAGTCCAAGCTCTTCCATGGGCTCCCTGCGACGTGTGACTGACCCCAACTGAAGATCCAAATCACACAACCACCTCTCCCAATGTCTCAACAGCAATGCCTGTCCATGCAGCGACGACGTCTGGGCCTGTGGATCTGTCATGCTGAATGTATTTGTGATGCTTGCTTTATTCTGGCACAAGTGCCATTTAGCCTCACTTAATTAGGGCTATTTGTCTCTTTTAGCACTGTTGACTGAGCAAACTGTATTTTATCAGCACCTTTCCCTTCCCAACTACAACTGGAAATAAAGGAAAATTTGATTAAAATCAAACAAATGACATTTGTACAGTATGAATGCCATACAACGACAGAGTATCTGCAAGTTTTATGAAGAATTTAAATCTTTAAAACCTTTTTGAGACCAGTTAAAGAAAATTAAGGGGAACACAATTCGCCAATATAGAGCGGATATCGAGTTGTATTAGCAGCACTTCAATTTCTTTTTTTTAAACCAAAAAATAGCTCAACTAGAATATGTAAATAACTTTTACGGTAACTTCTGATTACACTGCACAAAAGTGGTGCTTTTCCTCAGTATTTTTGTCTTGTTTTCAAATGCAAATGTCTAAAAATTCTTTAATCATCATAGATGCAATGACGTAAGTCTTGCTTTCTGAAAAATTTAAATTTGTGATTAAAAAAGGAAAAATATCTACTAATGGGCTTAGAAGAATCAACATTATTCATAGGTAAAATAAGTTTCATACACCATTTCCAACATATTTGTTCTTGTTTTAAGCATAAACTCACTTAACATTGTATATATAAAAAAGCTTCCCATCTTCATTTTGTATCTGAAGCAAAAGCACCTTAAATTTAGGATGTTTAGATTGGAAAACAATCTTTATATTGGAAAACAAGACAAAAAAATACTGACAAAGACATTCATTTTTTTCAGTTCATGCAACATTTAATGCCATGATTTTATGAATTTATTTGTTGTAAATAGGGCAAACTAAGACTTTTTAAGACCCTTTTAAAACCCACAGAAATCTTGAATGAATGAAATATGTCAAAATGTTGTTGCATGCAGGATACGTCCATCGGCTTGATCGTACATGACGTCATCTCATGCCTGAGAGACAAAAGAAAATTATTAAGCAAACCGCTTGTTCTTTGAACTTAGTTATTAAAGAACAAAAAAAGGGGTATCTGAGGATGGTAGAGCAGAAGACTTTTATAAGATCACATGATGTCTAGTAGGCGCTTTGGGCCCTTGAAAGAGGCCCCATATTAGCAGCACATCATAGGGCAACGCAGACTCAAAGAGGAAAAGTCAAAGTGGCCTGGTCTTAGCCCCGAGCATGCGGCTCTCTCAGAACACAAAACAAAACCAAACCCATATCTCAGCTCATGTATTTTTCATAAGGAATGGATACCGAGCTCTTTCAGAGATAAATATCAATTATTGAAACTGTTAATTAGAAGCCCATAATTGGCAAAGATACAAATGAATAAATAACTTTGACGATTAATTATTGATTTGAAAAAATTAAGCTCTGCAGGGAGCACATTTGAGTCACTAAAGATCAAGCAAGCACAAGAAATATGAGTTTTCGCCTCAAGTAATGTTCAATTAAAGCTGTACTGACTGTGAAAGTCCGACGGCTTGCCATGAGACCGGTTCTTTTAAATTTCACATCCATATTCCTTAAACTGTTAGACGTGTGAAATATTGCGTGCAGGTTGATGCACAGTAGTAACAAATCAAGAATTATTTAGCAGTCATAATTTGAACATAAAACTGCACTGACAAAATACATCCAAAAGTACAGTTTTAGGGTCTACGACTGCACCTGTATTACCGTCTCCTGATTTGGCAGTAACATTCTCCTCATTTGAGCATTTTTTTTAACCTCTTTCATCCAAACAGTCATTGATCACAGATCTTACGCAGTAAAGTTGGAACACAATAACAGATGAATGAGACTTTGTTTCTCTTCATCTCTGGATCTTTTTAGTTTCTGATGAAGGCTCATTGAGCGTAAACCGCACATTTTGGAGAATAAAAAGAAGTTGCGAGTCAAAAGGCACTGGCACTTTAATGGCAAGCCTCAGTCTTCTCGCAGTCTCTTCTTTCCTAATAGCAACATAATTAATCCTCTGTAGTATTGTTTTCACTCTTCCATGTCCCACTTAGTGCTTGGCAAGTCTCTCTCTCCCTACAGAATTGCCTCTTGATGTTTTCCACACTGAACTGTACTTAAGAAAGATTATTAATTAAGTTAAAAATGGCCCCAATACTTGTCAGTTTCCTCGCTAAATCCTTCTCCAAACATCTTTCAGGTACAAATTCATCTTTCAGGTATCCTGAAGCATTTTGAAAGTACAAAAAAAGAAATTTATTCTACATACAAAAATTGTGAACATCTTCAGAATACTTTTCATACTATTAAGCATCACTATTTTGTTGAGCATTACAGAACTTTAACGTACAGATAACGGTCTTTTTGAAGCAGTTCAGGACAAAATCTGCCCGTCCCGGATGAATTTTACAGCAATAACACAGAAATGTCTACAGGTCTGCACATTATTCATGATTAAAAAGCAGTGAGCATAAGAAAAAATGCAAAATGAGAGAGGTAATGCACAGGAAAACACAGGTTTTTGTTTTTTCAATAAAAGCAACTTATACAGAGAGCAGCTTGAAAATACTAGTTTTCCTTTTCAATTAATTCGTTTTCTTATGCTGCACTGTATATGACTAGCACTATGGCAAATGAAAAATATTTTCTTTTTCAGTTAATACAGTTTTTTTATGTGATGTTGTATATGGTAAGCACTATGCCACATAAAAATTATTTTTCCCCATTAAAGCTGAAGTTATGTGTACACGATATGCTTTCAAATTTCATAATATGCATTTCAGAATCCCTATTGCATTTTCCACACATTAAATATTACAACATGGGCAATACGGGAGGTGTATTTTCATTCACTCCATACTGGAGTGAAGCTGTCATTATTTTTGCCAAGATCAGTAATACGTTTTTCTACTCAAAAGAACATAATACAATGCACAAATGACAAAAACAATCAGATGGACCACAGCTTTAAGCAAAATTCCTTGTTCACTCTGTGGTTATACAGTAAGTTCAACTGGGTCTTTCTGAGAACAAGACACACTTGACTAAAATGTGTGTATTTGGAAAAATTTTAATGTATGAGCTCACTGAACAGCTCTCGATCCACAGATGATTTTCCTTGTATTCACACTTACTCCAAATACACTGCCTGATGGGAGTCTTGAAAGAGGTTTTAAGTGGGTGAGCTTTTACTTAAGATGCAATAGATTCTTGACTGTAGATGCTTTTACTTCACGACTCTAGCTGGTGGTTCTTCGTCCAGGAAGAACCCGTGCCACCGGAAGATTCTCGTGCAGATACGTCATGCTGCCCTGCTCAGAGAAATCTGCAGCTGTGTGGCCCTCGCCCCGTAAGACCCATTTGGTAGTGAGAAGCCCTTCCAACCCCACAGGCCCACGGGCATGAATACGGGCCGTGCTGATGCCAACCTCCGCGCCTACAAAGCACCACAGGGTCATTATGAGATTAAAAGGGAAAAATTTAAATAAGTTTGTGGGTGGGAAAAAAGAAAAAAAAGACACCTACCGAGACCAAAACGATATCCGTCAGCGAACCGTGAGCTGGCGTTCCAAAAGACACAGGCACTATCTAATTGCTGAAGGAACTGCTCTGCTGTGTCCTCTACACAGAGTATGTGAAAGATAAAGATAACAAATTAAATAAATTCAATAACTAAAATAAAAAAATCATTGTTTGAAAGCAATATCAATCTTCCCACTAGATGGCACTACAGCACTGCTTTTTTTGTTCACAATAGTTAATTTGTTCACCAAAACAGCTTGCAACTACTGTTAACCTAAACTGCCTATATTTATGATACATGATTATCCACCACTTTTAGGGCAGTCTTACCATTTTCAGTGACAATAACATCCGTGTGGGAACTGCCGTATTTATGAATGTGATCAACAGCCTCCTGCATACTGTCCACAACCTCGATACAGCACTCCAGATCCCCGTACTCAGTGCGCAGAGACTTCACCTCTGACGGACTAAAGGTCAGGTAAGATGCAAACTTGGGGCCGGCGTGGATCTTCACCTATATAGGTCAAATCACCAATCATTTTAAGAAAGTGCAGTTACAAAAATAGACTACCATTTTTGAATATGCAGAAGTATATGGAAAAAAAGAAAAAAGTAACAGTGAGATATAATTAAGATGTACACTACTCTAGTAGTTCAAGTGTTTTTTTTTTTGTTTTTTTTTATTTATACTTTTATTGAGCAAGGATGCATTAAATTGATCAAAAGTGAGCGTAAACAAATTTATTATTTACAAAATATTTTAATTCAAATAAATGCTGTTGAACAACTTTTTATTAATCTAAGAAAATTCAGCTTCGCCATCACATGAATTTTATCAATATTAATTAATTTCACATTTTAAAATATATTAAAATAGAAAATTAACTTTAAATCAGAATAATTTCATATTATTACTGTTTTACTTTATTTTTATTTAAATAGATACAGCCTTGGTGAGAAAGAGACTTCTTTCAAAAACATTTTTAATAATCTTCGACCCCAAACTTTTGAATTATAGTATACAGTTGCATTTACATTTTTTATTTAGTTTTACCCTGTCTCAGAAAGCAGCTTCAATAGAAACACTGTATTATTTTTTCTAGACCAAAGACAGATTTGGTTATAGTCCTCAGAGTGTAAGCCTAAATAAGTATGAATGACATACTGTGCATATATAAGCGGCCTTACATGTTCTGTCCTCAGCATGTCGATGATCTGATCAAACAATGGGGTTCTGAGAAGTTCTCGATGCACCAGCAGGGTTTCCATGGCATTACAGGCTGCAGGGTAGTCGCATTTGGAGTCTCGGACTAGAGAGATAAAACATAAGCAGTGTAATTTAACCCATTATAAACCACAATATCAAATGGTTGTTTATGGAGTACACCTACATGGAAATAAAAAAACAACAACATCTACACTCATAAATCTTCACTGGCAGTCTTACTGATCTTGATGGCTTTGTCAACACTGGCCTCATGGTCCACATAAACATGGCAGATCCCCTCACTATGGCCAAGAACAGGGATGCCCTTCGCCGCTCGCTGAATATCTCTGACTAGCTGAGAGGAGCCACGAGGAATGATCAGATCAATCATCTTCTCCAGACGGCACAGATCCTCCACCTCTTCACGTGTGCTCACCTGCCACATATTATATCTGTTAAATGACTACATATACACACACTACCAAACAAAAGTGTATTTTTTTGTTATTTTTATGCAGCAAAGATGCATTCAATTGATCAAAAGTGATAAATGTAGCATTGTTTAGCATTGTTTTTCAGATAAACAAGTATGTTAACTTAGCATGTTTCTTAAATATCTGCAAACATATTATGGTATTTTTATGCTTTAGTAGAGTCAAAAACTTACATACAGCACCTTTATAATAGAAAACAGTTGTTTTAAATTGTAATAATACTTCACAATATTGCTATTTTTACTGTAGTTCTGATCAAATAAATGCAGCCTTGGCAAGCTTGGTGCAAATATGTAATTTACCAGCTGGATGGCGTCTTTGACTCCATGGATGGACAGAGCCTCCTGGGCAAGTTCATGCAGGATGCGATTCGTGTTGGCCGCCTCTTTGCCACCTTTCAACAAAAGAGCATTTCCACTGGCAATGGCTAAAGCAGAAACCTGATGGGAATAAAAAGTAAAAAATGTAGACATTTAGAAGATATTTACACAAAGTGACTTAAAGTACACAAACACACATTTGAATCTACATCCTTTCTGTTTACAGCCCAGGGGCCGGTTGCACCAGCTAGACGTAAAAAAGCTGGGTGTAAGCCCTACGCTGGACTTTGCAACATCCTGCTTTACGATAAATATTTACACCAGTTGCACCTACTGAAACTACGATCAGGCATAACTACGCCGGTGTAGACAATGCGCGCCCCCGCTGACACATTCTCCCGCAGTTATAGATATAGCTGAGACGACGTTCACCAACTACTAATAGGCCTACAGAACTGAATTGCTCAAGACATCATAACAAGTGAAGCCACCATGCCATGATTTCACTGAGTAAACATTTCCTAACAAGTCCGCATTTTTATATCTGAAGTCTCCCTGCATTCCCATGACAGATTTCATCAAGGTTAAGTAAAATATAATAAATGTAATACAATGCTTCTCTCTAGAGTTATTTTTTATTGCTGACTATCAAGTTTATGTACAATGAATGTCTTTCCTGAGGTAAATGTGACTTTACGTGACATTTTGTTTTTACTGGCATCTCTCTGTGGCTGAAAAAAAAACACGTTTATAGTTTGTATTTTGTGATAAAAATTTACTTTGAAAGAATTTGATAGTTTATTTCTGATTAGAAGTAACAAAGCACAAAACTTATTGCGATTATTAGAATGGCGGGCACGCTACAAATAATGAATGGAATTAAAGACGTGAAGCATTTACACTGTCCTTCCAAGCAAGATGTCAAATGATTAAGTTTCTTTTAATAATCCCAGTTCATATGTAATATTTTACTGCATAATTACTGCATGCTGTACAGAAATATATTTTGTATTCAATTACTGTCGGCAGTGTGGTAGGCTATAGTCTACACCGAGCTTCGCGATTGATATCGCTTATCCTGCCCGAAAAGACCATAAACATTACAGTTCACATCTGCAGTAATAATTAACTAACAGACATAAACCCTAAAAACAAATAATGTCAGAGGAAATCATGACTTTTCACCTACCTCTGACTAGGCGTAAGATTTAGTCTCAGACGTAGCACTAAGCCGAGATCGTGCAACGGGTATAAATTCTACGCACGACTTAAAGCGCATTTTACGTCCAGCCTAGTCTTACAACCGGGTGTACGTCCAGCTGGTGCAACCGGCCCCTGATCTTTAACCACCACCCACTGGCCCAAACATAAACATGCTCACATACAGGAAAACTAAAACAATAACCCAAAAGTTACACTATTTATGTACAGTAGATGCATGCATTTTGTGCACCTGACCTGAGGAAGGCAGTCTGGTCGTGACTCAAAGATGACCAGCAGTACTCCTATGGGGACAGTGATCTGCTCCAGCTCCAGGTTGTTTGCCACACGAGTCTTGCGCAGAACCCTGCCAACGCTGTCCTGAGAGGATACTGCGATCTGACGCAGGCCAATGGATAGACTGTTCAGTTTAGATGATGATAAACTGAGTCGCTTCAGCATGGCCGGAGACAGACGACCTGTAGCATAACAGATTGAGTGCACCAAAAAGAAAAAAAAACAACCCCTTTGTGATACACCACTTCAGTGGGGGAAAAAATGGTCTGGTTTGCACATGGTCTAGAGAGTAGCAATTACTTTCGGTTACCTGTGCTGACAGCATGCTCCATGTCCTTTTTGTTAGCAGATAAGATTTGGTCTTTCCTCTCAGTTAGGAGATCAGCCAATGCACAGATGATGTCACTTCTCTGTGGACAAACAGATTGATATCACACAGATGCTGTCTATAGATGTTAAGATGAAAATAACCCAGACTATTTCTTTTTTTAATCTAACGATTCTACTGTTTCTGGTAAAATATGCCCAAATGATTCCAGAGAGTCATTTAAAATAGTGGTTTAAAAGTTCAGCTAACCTGCTCTGGTTCAAGGGAAGCAAGAGTCCTGCCAGCAGAGCGAGCCATTTCTGTCTGCTGCTCGACTGTGGGACCTGTGGATGAAGAAAAGTGGCATCTGAGGTCTTTCAACAGAGATAAATGAATCACATTAGAAAAAAAAACTGAATCAGTAGAGCATGTGGTAACTCACCAGCTGGCTTGACCTCTGAGAAGAAGGTTCCTACTTTCTTGCCCTCAACAATGTCAGTGATCACATGACCTGTGACTTTGGGGTGTGTACCGTTAGCAATGACAACAGATGTCCCACCTTGGAGAGCCCAGAGAGCAGCTTTAACCTGAAGTTTATTAAACGCAGACTGTCAGTTTTAGTTATTGATCCTAACACAAAAGCTATATAGTGCGTGTGTATATCTCAGATATTCTTTCTCTAATCACACCTTAGCTTCCATTCCTCCAATGCCAACCCTGGACTTTGTGCCGTAGGTTATGGAATGCTGGTCCCCAGGGTAAAATGTGTCCAGGAGCTTGGCATCGTCTGACCCTGGTGGGCTGTCGTAAAGTCCTGGAGAGGGTGATAAAAAAAGGCAAGTAAAATGGTCGAGTTTAAAATTTCACTCAAATATTAAAAGCCTGCCATTATTAACTCTGGAAAGCTTCAGACTGCATTTAACTGCATTAAAAAGAGTGACGATAATTTAAGTCTTTAAACCTTTTCCTTAAGTGTTATATAGTACAGTTAAAATATAGTTTTTAATATTTTAAAAATAAATAAAAAGTAGTTATTATAGTTTGTGAAATCATAACCATGATATATTTTTTTCTGTATTTATTTGAAATAGAAATCTTTCGTAACATTATAAATAAATATCTTCACTTTTGATCAATTTAATGCATCTTTGCTGAATAAAAATGTAAATTTCTTAAAAGTTTAAACATAGAATACAAATATAAATAATTAAATGAAGTAAATAAATAAAATATCCAAAAACTAAAATCCTTTTTACATTTTTAAATGCGACAAGAACATTTAGGTATCACAACATCTTAATGTATAGTATCATTTTGAGACTTGCTAAAGATTACTTTTAACTGTGTTACTAAATACTTGAAGTATGAAAATAGTATGAACAAGTAAATATACAATACAGATAAATAAATAAAAAAACATCTAATACCAGCCAGTAAAATATGATATGGTATTGATGTATTCACTGATTAACATTCAAACTGAAATCTCACCTTCTACATCAGAGAGCGCAATGAGAAGATCTGCCCTCATCTCCACGGCAAGCCGCGCTGCAAGACTATCGTTATCCTTGATACTGATAACCTGAGGTATGAAAAAGAGAAAAGAAGTGTGAAGAGTCTCGAAAGAGACTCAAACTAGAGAATTATTTTTTAAAACCCACAAAGACAGACATCACCACTATATTTCATGTTCCCATGAACATTTGTCTCTAAACTATGGCATCCCATGACAGATTTCATCAAGGTTAAGTAAAATATAATAAATGTAATACAATGCTTCTCTCTAGAGTTATTTTTTATTGCTGACTATCAAGTTTATGTACAATGAATGTCTTTCCTGAGGTAAATGTGACTTTACGTGACATTTTGTTTTTACTGGCATCTCTCTGTGGCTGAAAAAAAAACACGTTTATAGTTTGTATTTTGTGATAAAAATTTACTTTGAAAGAATTTGATAGTTTATTTCTGATTAGAAGTAACAAAGCACAAAACTTATTGCGATTATTAGAATGGCGGGCACGCTACAAATAATGAATGGAATTAAAGACGTGAAGCATTTACACTGTCCTTCCAAGCAAGATGTCAAATGATTAAGTTTCTTTTAATAATCCCAGTTCATATGTAATATTTTACTGCATAATTACTGCATGCTGTACAGAAATATATTTTGTATTCAATTACTGTCGGCAGTGTGGTAGGCTATAGTCTACACCGAGCTTCGCGATTGATATCGCTTATCCTGCCCGAAAAGACCATAAACATTACAGTTCACATCTGCAGTAATAATTAACTAACAGACATAAACCCTAAAAACAAATAATGTCAGAGGAAATCATGACTTTTCACCTACCTCTGACTAGGCGTAAGATTTAGTCTCAGACGTAGCACTAAGCCGAGATCGTGCAACGGGTATAAATTCTACGCACGACTTAAAGCGCATTTTACGTCCAGCCTAGTCTTACAACCGGGTGTACGTCCAGCTGGTGCAACCGGCCCCTGATCTTTAACCACCACCCACTGGCCCAAACATAAACATGCTCACATACAGGAAAACTAAAACAATAACCCAAAAGTTACACTATTTATGTACAGTAGATGCATGCATTTTGTGCACCTGACCTGAGGAAGGCAGTCTGGTCGTGACTCAAAGATGACCAGCAGTACTCCTATGGGGACAGTGATCTGCTCCAGCTCCAGGTTGTTTGCCACACGAGTCTTGCGCAGAACCCTGCCAACGCTGTCCTGAGAGGATACTGCGATCTGACGCAGGCCAATGGATAGACTGTTCAGTTTAGATGATGATAAACTGAGTCGCTTCAGCATGGCCGGAGACAGACGACCTGTAGCATAACAGATTGAGTGCACCAAAAAGAAAAAAAAACAACCCCTTTGTGATACACCACTTCAGTGGGGGAAAAAATGGTCTGGTTTGCACATGGTCTAGAGAGTAGCAATTACTTTCGGTTACCTGTGCTGACAGCATGCTCCATGTCCTTTTTGTTAGCAGATAAGATTTGGTCTTTCCTCTCAGTTAGGAGATCAGCCAATGCACAGATGATGTCACTTCTCTGTGGACAAACAGATTGATATCACACAGATGCTGTCTATAGATGTTAAGATGAAAATAACCCAGACTATTTCTTTTTTTAATCTAACGATTCTACTGTTTCTGGTAAAATATGCCCAAATGATTCCAGAGAGTCATTTAAAATAGTGGTTTAAAAGTTCAGCTAACCTGCTCTGGTTCAAGGGAAGCAAGAGTCCTGCCAGCAGAGCGAGCCATTTCTGTCTGCTGCTCGACTGTGGGACCTGTGGATGAAGAAAAGTGGCATCTGAGGTCTTTCAACAGAGATAAATGAATCACATTAGAAAAAAAAACTGAATCAGTAGAGCATGTGGTAACTCACCAGCTGGCTTGACCTCTGAGAAGAAGGTTCCTACTTTCTTGCCCTCAACAATGTCAGTGATCACATGACCTGTGACTTTGGGGTGTGTACCGTTAGCAATGACAACAGATGTCCCACCTTGGAGAGCCCAGAGAGCAGCTTTAACCTGAAGTTTATTAAACGCAGACTGTCAGTTTTAGTTATTGATCCTAACACAAAAGCTATATAGTGCGTGTGTATATCTCAGATATTCTTTCTCTAATCACACCTTAGCTTCCATTCCTCCAATGCCAACCCTGGACTTTGTGCCGTAGGTTATGGAATGCTGGTCCCCAGGGTAAAATGTGTCCAGGAGCTTGGCATCGTCTGACCCTGGTGGGCTGTCGTAAAGGCCTGGAAAGTGTGATAAAGGCAAGTAAAATGGTTGAGTATAATTATTATTTTACTCAAATATTAAAAGCATGTAATTATTTACTATGGAAAGCTTTAGACTGCATCTAACTGCATTAAAAAGAGTGACAATCTTAGTCTTTAAACTTTTCCTTTAGTTATATTTAGTCATATATAGTTTCAGATTAGTCATATAGTTAAAAATAGAATTTTTATAATACTGTAAATATAAATAATAATTAGTATTATTATAGTGTTGCGAAAACATAACCATGATACATTTATCTGCATTTATTTGAAATAGAAATCTTTTGTAACATTATGAATGCCTTTACTGATGTCTTTACTTTTGATCAATTTAATGCTTCCTTGTGGAATAAAAAAAAAAGTTAATTTCTTTCAAAAAAGACATTGCTTTAAAAGAAAGTGTGTAAAATATAAATGATGACAATAATAATGATAATAATAATAATTCTGTACTAACTACTACAAAAACTAAAATTGATGGTTTTAAATGCTACAATACAATTTAGGCATCACAATATCTTAATGCACAATATTAAGATATTGCCTCACTACTAAATGTTACTAAATACTTTAAATGTAAAAAAAAAAAAAGTAAATATACAATACACAGATAAATTAAAAATACATCTAATACCATAAGATATGGTACTGATGTATTCATTGATTAAAATTCAAACTGAAATCGCTCACCTTCTACATCAGAGAGAGCGATGAGAAGATCTGCCCTCATCTCCACGGCAAGTCGCGCTGCAAGACTATCGTTATCCTTGATACTGATAACCTGCAGTATGAAAAAGAGAAAAGAGTCTCAAAAGAGACTCAAACTAGAGAAAGCGGCCCTTGTCTTTTAAAACCCAGAAAGGCAGACATCACTTTATTTCATGCTCCCATGAGCATTTCTCTCTAAACTATGGCATTAAAATGGGTGTGATGAACAATGACATGAAAAAGCAGAATTCCACATGAAACCACATTTGAAGCCACAGCGAGTGCATGACAGAGCAAGCGTAGATGAGCCCAGAGAGTAAGCGACAGTACTGTGAATGAGGTAATGTTAATTGTTTTCCAGTTTCTACAGGAATGGAAAAAAGCCTTAGGCTACAACAGTGCAGGAGACAAAGATCAAGCCTCTGCATTGCTTCTGACTCCCAGCATGCATTCAGTTCCAAAAGGAAGAAGATGGGTGGCAAAGCTGCTGGGCAGACTCTCTCTCTCCCAATACCCACATTTACCCCCTGTAGGTCACTGTTGGGTTCTGGGGGAGGGACCACAGCGTCGTTGGTGTTGATGATGGGCACGATGTTCATACGCAGCAGCTCATGCAGAGTGCTTTTCAAGTTCCGTCTTTTCTGGTCGTCGTGGAAGTCCAGGTTTGTTACCAGGATCTGAAGCAACAAATAAAAAAAAATGAAAATATGAATAAGAGTGCATTTTGTAGCTTAACCATGCATATGTTAGTGTCTGTGTGTACCTGGGCAGTACAGGTGCTGTATTGAGTGAACATAGCTTCATACAGAGCCATAAGTCCACTTTGTCCCGCAGCGGCACATGCTCTCGCCTCTAGAACTGGCAGTGACTGACAAAGAAAACATATCCAACTTCAGCTTCTTAACTTTTTAAAGTTAAAAGATTAGTTTACTCAGCTGAAACATGCTTGGTTGCTGCACGGGAACCAATGTTTGTTTCTCAAATGTCAAGCAAATACAGTAGCTTCTGTTTACCATATTTGATGTGCTCTATGTATGTGCTTTGTTTATATGTGAATTAAAGCCTATATTAATTCTGTTCATAAAAAGCGATTGATAAACAGAGGTGTGACGTGCATACTTTTTGGCTCATTAAAAATTAATCTTGCTGCCACGTTCTGGATTAATAGTAAAGGTTTGATAGAACTGGCTTATTGGGAGATATAGAGTGACAACTCATATTTATATACATTTTATGCAAGTAATCTGTTATACAGTTATAAAGATAATGGTAAACTGTTCCATTATATATATATAGTTTTTTTTTTTTACTATTATTTAATATTTTAGGCTGTAAAGGGTTAATAACCCTTTTGCAAATTTGGGTGAATGAACTTTTAATGGAGGGACAGAAATCTCTTATTTCACTGAAAATGAATGAATGAATGAAAGTCTTATGGGTTTGAAATTACATGAGGGTAAATAATTAATGACAGAATTTTCATTTTTGTATTAACTATCCCTTTAATGTAATATTATATTTTTTGTTTAATCCATTTTTATTTTGAACCAAAAATACTGTTAACAAATGTATACAGGTGCATCTCAATAAATTAGAATGTCGTGGAAAAGTTCATTTATTTCAGTAATTCAACTCAAATTGTGAAACTCGTGTATTAAATAAATTCAATGCACACAGACTGAAGTAGTTTAAGTCTTTGGCAATTAAAAGAACCAAAGACTTAAACTACTTCAGTCTGTGTGCACTGAATTTATTTAATACACGAGTTTCACAATTTGAGTTGAATTACTGAAATAAATGAACTTTTCCACGACATTCTAATTTATTGAAATGCACCTGTATGTCCTCACCATATCTTTGAGCTGATTCTGGCCTGAGTGGAGGGCTTGTCTGACACTCTGTGAGAGAAGAATTTCGTGCCTCAGCCTTTGTTTTCCAAATGCTACCGCACCACTGGTCACAATCATCATCTCTCTGCCCTGATTCTGAAGCATGGCCACCTTAAACAATCAAAATGCATAAATAAAGAGTTATAATGTGCAATCAATTAAATATCCTAAACAAATTTGCTAAATTTAAATAATTTTTTTTACAGCACCACGATTTGTTAGTACAACATTTTATTTATGTGCAAATCGTTAAGCTTTTATCCTCTTTACCTGTTCTACAATTGAAGCAAGTCGGCCCAAAGCGAGGCCGCACTCGTCGCCGCGGGTTACAACAGCACTCCCCAACTTGACGACGATTCTCTTGGCCTGGCGCAGATCACTGCGGTGGGCAAATGACTTACCGTGAGCCCGTGCCAACGGCACTGTAAAAAAAGGCACGTTACTCCACTGACGCACATGGAGTGTGAGAAATGGGGAGGAAGTGGGATCTGCATGGAGAGAGAGCCGGGAAAGCACCCAATGAGGAGCATGCCATGCAGGAAAGCCAGTGAGTGATGGATAAATGGACTGTGTTAGTGTGCATTGATTGTATCACCGATGAACATTAGGATAATGAGAAGAGGATGGATATGAGGGGAAATGGTAAAAGATAAGCAGAGAAAACAGGAAGTATGAAGAGCATGTCCATAATGTAACAAACGGCATTGTATACAATGAATATACAGTAATTAGCTCTGTGACAAATTGCTTCCATTTTTCTCTTGTACAGTAAGTCTCTTTGAATATGCATAAATGTAAATGTAATTGTAAACTAATCAACCCTAAGCTACTCCCCACAAAATTCATTTTATAATCTATAATTTAAAATGGAATAACTTCATGCGCTTCTTTTCTACTGATGTAACCAAAGCCACATGGGCAGAATTTTTTTTTTTTATAATATCATCAAAGTCCAACTTTCATAATCCAATCACCTTCTAATGAAGCCTATTCTAACTTTTTATTTTGTAATTAAAAATATCATCATGTTTAAAAGATTATTATAAAAATGTTAACACAAAATATCATTATAGTTTATAAAAACATCACTATAGATGTGTATTTAGTGAAATACATAACATTTCTGGCATATAGCAGTAAGATGATATTATTTTCATGTAACTGCCGATAATAATACAAACAATAAAATGTCAAAGCGAAATTTGATTATTTTAAATACTAAAAGTGTACAGTAATGTACAGTATGACAATGTGTCTTTTTTTAATTAAAAGTCATTTAAGACATTTAACATTTAAGAGTGTCATTAAATGCTTTAAATGACCAGTAACTTTTAATATTTTGAGTAAAAACAGTGAATCTGAAATCTCCCCCACTACATAAGAGGGAGTAATGCATAAATGTAAACAAATTAACTTTATGCTGGTGTCTATGGGATTGTAGAAAATTCAAACCAATTGACTTAAAGAAAATATTAAATTAATATTGATTATATTTACTTATAAAATATCACTGGTCTTATTATACAAAACTCACCAATAACAAATGTCAGTGCAGACAAAAAAAGTGATCTGTAAAAGCAAAAAAGCAAATCTGGGACAAGCCATTCACAAAGCTGTGAGCTTATGAAGTTCAGCGCCCACCAAACCCCCGCCACATTCTTTATGAAAGAAAATAACACAGTAAAAGGTGCCACATCAGCAAAGCCAGACAGCACACCCAAACGCTGACAGGACAGAACTCAAAGAGGAGCACCGACCCAGTGAATGAGAGAGACAGACATGCTGTAAATCAAGAGCAAGCATCATGAATGGAAACAACTAATTGTATCTACATATTTAAAGATCTGTCTCTGACTGCTTTTAATAAATAAGAAACAATGATATACTGAACAGTATTCATTCTGATATAGCTTGGATAGTTTCACAATCCATAAACTTTTCTTTATAATACCCTGCATATTTTTCTTTCTTTCACAAGGTATGTGATACAGCGTACAGAAATACTTACTTTTGCCTTGTGAAGCAGCTCTTTTGAATGTTTGCAGAGCATTTGGTCTTGCTAAAAGCTGAGAACAGGAGAACATCTTCTGGAGATACATGGTGACCGGATTTGTACAACTGAAATATAAATCATATATTTATATCAAAACACAGTTGATCAAATCAATTTAGTTAGATCTTTCAGGCTACTTCCCGACATAAATAAATTATGCAAGATATTATGTGAGATCATACATGATCAAAGTTCATTTAACTTGGTGTAGATGTAAACAAAAGCGATCTACAACCAACTGACCTACATTCAACAAGTCAAGTGCATCACTGTGCTAAACGTAAGAAAAAAATAGTTGCCAGAGTTGGATGCTTTTATTACATGAATACATTTAATAATGAGTAGGGATTATTTATATTGTATAAGATCTAAATGCATACTGTGCGTAATAATATTTAGCAATTGGCTAACGTTAACTTACTTAAAAACGGGGCTCAAGAAACCAACACTTACCACAGCACCATAACAAATAATAACGAATTAACAAATCCATACTAACAGCCATTAAAGAAAAACACTTATTTTCTCTGTAAACTTTCTTTAGAAACACGTTGGCTGATGCAAGAAGGAAGATTAAATGGCCCAGCGTGACATTTCTCAATTTCAAAACAAATGTGTAAAGCGGTATCGTGTAAATGCCATTCTACATACCTTAATCTACCAAATAAATGTGATTTATTAAGCTCAAGCCACTGCCGCCGCTTCTTTTCAGTGCCACATCAACTCTCGGCAGCTGCTCTCATGGATTCAGCCATGTTGACGTTCATCCACGTAGTTACGCAACGGGCGTACGCACTGATAGTTTTACGCTGATTACCGTTAGGATTCACAAACATATTTACGCTCGACTCCGCTTGGGTCACCTACGCAATCTGCGCAAAATAGTTGTTTTGTTATTGTTGTTGTTGTTAATAATAAAACAATTAAAAACGGCATTAAAGTTCAGAATATGTATTATGTCGTATTTTTTTCGGTGTCGATATAGTTGTTTTATAGGTCATTTGAATCTCAGGCTCCAGCACTAGAGGGCGGTGTGTAAACTTATCTGTGACGGGTCATCTGCAGTCCAAGAACAGAACATAGACAACGGACCATTCTTAAAGGGATAGTTCACCCAAAAATGAAAATTCTGTCATTATTCCTACTATGGAAGTCAATGGCAACCACCAACTGTTTGATTACCAGCAATCTTCAAAATATCTTCTTTTATGTTCGACTTAAGAAAGCAACTCATACAGGTTTGGAACGACATGAGGGTGAGTAAATAATGACAGAAATTTCATTTTTGGGTGAACTATCCCTTTAATGCTGATGTTTTGCATAATTTTCTAAGGTCTTTGTAAAGGCCATTGTAAAGTCACCAGTCTAAATAGAATGCAGTCTATGAGCACCAGGTAGCCTGTCTAAAAGAATATTTTGTCTTGTTCATTAAAACCGGTTATTAGGCTTACTTATTTTTGGACACTGTAGGTTATCTCTCTTATGCAATTAACAGCTCTTAAACTTTTACAAAATATTAATTTTGTAGACTTTCATACTTATGCTGTGGTCAAGCTTTGGCACTTAAACTTTATTAGGCTATTGCTTAATTGTTTATATACATAACAGCAAGAAAATGAACAGCGTGTAAATAAATACGAGTTAGTGAGAGTTAGGTTATCTTACATAAACATATAATTTTAGATTTTTTTTATCTTTTGACATTTTGATAATTTTATAACAATTTCTGTAATTGTATCAAATAGTAGGCTATGCAATGTATTAAAGTAAGATGTCTACTAAAACCACAATCACTCAAAACATTTTTACAGAATTAATTAGGTAAATCCAGTGCTAAAATGAATATTAGACTATAGGATGCAAAGTGATATATGCAACATATTTTAGAAGTTAGTACAGCATCCAGGGACATGGTAAAAAACATCCCCTCAAACCAATTTTGTGATCTCAATGCATATTGCAATTAAATAAATCTAACTTGATTTCCATATTTAATAATTGTGTGTTTGAAACATATGACAATGTTACAATAATGATGATATGAACACATGAAAAAGTACTGCACAACAGCATTGACCCATACAGCTTTATCTAATCTATTCATGATGTTTCATGACTCTGCAAACAATTTAAAAGAGCACGTCATCAACAAGGACACCTTAAACAACACAACCCAGATGTTCAGACAGGTTTTATTCATTTTCCACATTCCACAATCTCTTAGTTAAAAGCTCTGAACCCATGACTAAATCAAAGACAAGTCCCAGAGTGTTTTTGGCATCGATAGTAGGAAACACCTAGCACGTCTCATGTGTTTATCTGTTTAGACAAATCATTTATCTTCTGCTATGGAGACCTGATCTGACAGGAGGCAAGAAATATCATGGTCCTTTTTTCATTCATATAATGCAGTTTATAGTATAAAAGTGAATAAATGGTTCACTTTGTAAAGTGGGGAATGATAGTGGGGCGTGATAAGCCTATAAAAGATGCAAAAGCACTGAACAGCTCTTTAATGTCTCACTAAAGTAGTTTAAAACCAGTATTTCAGAGAATAGCCTACCACTCACAACCCACAGAAAGCATCTCATTCAGCTGAAACATTGCATTATGCATGCGTTTATCTTTAGAAATCAAATGAAATTGACAACTGTGCTGAGTGTTCTTTAATGAGACTTCATATGTGCTAAGAAATCAAATTATTGCACAAGAAGAGTTACAGCGACTCAGATTATCTGTATTTTTTTTCTCACTCTGGTGCTAAGAAATCAAATTATTGCACAAGAAGAGTTACAGCGACTCGGATTATCTGTATTTTTTTTCTCATTCTGAAAAAAAAAATGCTATAGTGTTTTTTTCCATATTTTTTGGGAGACACAGAATCCAGCCCTTACAAAGACCTGAGATGACCGAACACCTGAGAAGAGATGATGTCAACCCCTCAGAAGACCTCAGATGATGCCAACCCTCAGACAACATACAAACTACCAAATTTTGCTATAAGTTTGATTGCAACATATAATCATTGCTGTTAATAGTGTAGTGTTCACCGTCTGTTTGATTGCATGACATTAACTAACTGCTTGATTTTTACCGTACATTTCTGCCATATGGACATCAACTTGAGATAGTCACCACTGATAAGCTATTACTAAATATAATGTAGAAACATACATTTTCTGTAAAGCTGCTTTGCAACAATTTGCATTGTGAAAAGCGCTATACAAATAAATAAAACACAGCAGAATGCTTTGAAAGTTGCATTATGAAGCTATTCTGCAGCATTTGTGATGAGCTCAAAATTAATTTTTAACATCAATATAACTGACTTGCACTACTTATTGTTCAAGATGTGTACCACAAACGTCCTTTTTAATGTGCAGCAGGAAACCTTTTTGGAGGGAAATGTTTCTCCAAAAGGGAAGCAGATGGTTGACATCATTGCCAGACAGCTATTATAGTGAGACTGCTGGCTTTGAATCACCATCTGCAAAGTTCACAAAGTTTAAAGTTTACTTTTTCAAGATTGGTTAGTGCCATTAGAATCATTGGGGTTCATTTATTAATACTTTGTCAGTTACACTTCAATCCATGGCATGAATTGATATACAGAGATCTGTGCAGTAATTGTCGGTTACACTTTTGACCTCATGCGTTATTTTTGCTCCAGTCAGATATTTCGGTCCAATTACATTGTTCCATTACCAGAATTTTTTTTTATATGGAAACAAGATGAGGCACTTGATTATGTTGTTACCATCCAAATACAGGGGATATAAACATGCACCAGGAAACAGCTTTCTGAAGGTTTAATTGAAAGAGTATGCTGTTTAGTTCTGTTTCGGGGGCCCCAGGAAGTCATGCAGACGATGGCTTTTCTTGTAAGGAAAGTTCTATAGGGATCAAACTTTCAAAAAAGTTATGTTTTATGCATTTGGTATCACAGAGGTCCCTTGTGTATTCTAAATTTATAAGGGCAACTAGTTTCCACTCAGACTGACCATGTTCCAATGCATTTCCACTGTTGTGTAATTACCCAAAAACTTTTATTGTTCTAAACACGTTTGAAATATCTCTCACAAACCTTAAATAAAAGCCAAAACTGCATATTATAAATATGTGTGCCTTTGATCTTGAGCTTAATCTTTTTTTTAGGAAGCACTACTCACTGTATCTGACAAAGATAAGCACTGCAATGCAATAAAAGATGCAATGAAAGTGACTCAAGACACAACATGAGAATGATAGAATTTTTAATTTGGGTGAACTATCCCTTTAATTAGCAACAGCTGATCTCAGGGAAGCTGTGCATGCACTGCTCTTTCAATAATGCCTAGAGGACAGACTAGCATCTGTGTTTCTTAGAATTCAAAAGGAAAACATTTATAAATTGCGACATCATTGTTCTCTTGCCCACACACCTACTTAAAAGTGGTTTGTCATTTAGTTTCTCTGGTTGAGGAAGTGAAAATGCTGCAAAAATGTCTTGTTTTTGTACAACATCCCATTTTCTTGAAAACAGCAGGCGTGTTATTTAGTCTCATCAAATCATAATACTACAAATATCAGCAAATGATGATGTGCCCAGAGGCATCAGCAGATATGAGAGAGGATTATAGGACGCTGCATTCATGGATGAACAAGGAGGTGAGTCTATGACATTCACTCACATGAACAGACACTTCACCATATTGGGTTCACGGCAGGGCAGGATGTAATTTGGAAAGGAGTGCACAAAAGAAGGAAGAAGAAAAACAATGCAGGATCCCTGTAAAAACACTCCAAATGATCTGATTTCCTGGATGTTTCTTATGCTAAATCAAGCTTTCTTAAAAAGGAGATTAACTTAAAAGTCTGGTTCTGTTGAAAATGATTGTCCCCATGCATGTTTGTGTTAACTTTAGACAGACAGTTCAAGAACCATATGGTTTTTAGTTTCACAATGCTTTTTTTTTTAAATTACAGATCTGTTGTTTGCTGCTAACTAATTAACTAGTGCAGTAATTCAAAACCACCAGGTTTTAGAAGTTAAGGCCAAGTCAGATTAGTTTGCTGCCAAATAAAACAAAAAGTCTCCTCTTTGAAATATGAAAAGCTCCCAGAGTCTCTGATATTAACTGAATCTGATGTGTATTTCAAAAATTTTCAAATAAAATATCTGAATGAATGAATGAAAATAACTGTGGCATTATATCTGCTGCTGAAGCACCAGCTTTCAAATGAATGACTCTTATGAAACTTTCTTGCTTAATCAAGCATTTGGCTCAAGGCCCATTTGATTGCCAGGAAAAAGCATGTTTCATGTGTCCCTGGAGCATCTCTCTAGAACGCAGTGCTTCCACAGTTTGCTTTAAATAAATCAATCAAAGTCACTGGTTTAGGAGTGGGGTTAACATGCTCAAACAGATTGCAAGTGTTACCTTACACAACAGCAAAGAAGACATGCATTTGAGTGGGTGGTTGTGAAGTGGAAATTAATGAGAAAACTATGATAAAACATTTCTCATTTTCGAATACAGGAAATGCAGAGCTGTGCTTGGGCTTCGCTGGTCATGTCTGAGCAAAGAAAGATGCCACAGTAAAGGAAATATGTTCCTTGTTGTCGAAGATTAATTATAATTGTGATGACATTAATAATTCTTTCACAGTCAGGCTTCCTTGAGCTTGTTGGCTGTGATATTAGTTACATAATTAATTTTGATGAATTTACTTTTGTGTGTCACTCAAAATTATGTGTTAGTGTTAAAAGTGTTCCACACAGGAAAGTCTGTAATTTTCCATATTGATTG